TGCCATTTGGAACTCAAACGAAATATTTTGTGTCGAAATAGTTTTTTCGGTGACTGTGATTATGAGTGTGGAATGCAAAGTGAAAATGTGTCTGATTTTTATTTTATTTATAAGCACCTACAGAAATCTATTAACTAATTAGTGTAAATACCAACAAATCAAGAACATGATTAGTTCAAAATATTTTGATAACTGAAAAAATATGAACTATATAATAGTGGCGCATTTGATATGATTTTTGAAACTGAAATTTATGTTCCGCCAACTAAAGATTTTATTTTTAGAGTCAAAATTTATATTTTTGTTTGTATTTATTAATTAGACATGTGCTTCTATCATATAAAAATTATTATTTTTTCTTAAGTTATTTTTATCATTCAAAATCAATTGAGATTTAAATTTTATTTTAACCATGCAACGTTTATATTAGTAACATGAATAAAAAAATTTATATATTTGTGGCATATATTAAGAAAATTAACATAAATAAAAAAAATTATTTGTGTTTCTAATTTTTAGAGAAAAAAAACATATGTGCCAATCATGCACAGATGTACATAAAATATTATAAGTAATATTTGAGAATTTAATATTAAAATTCTAGATAATGAACATATTACATTTTCAAAAATTTGATCATTAGAAAAAAAATAACAATTTTATTATTATGAACAATTGTATATTATCATTAGATACTAATAGTAAAAATAATAATAATAATAATAATAATCATTATTATTATTATTATTAAAATAATTGTTTATAATATTCTAAAGTTGTTTGACTATGCTATTAAAATAATTTACTAATTGTTTTTAAATAAATTTTTTCATGAGATACAAAAGAAAAAGATAATATTGATGTTAAAATAAATAACTTGAAACAATTGTTCTTAATTATGTAATTTATATTTATTGTGAATTGTTATTAGTTGGTATTAGCAATAATTACTATATAATATAATAGAAAAATACATGATTATACTCATTATGATGTATTAATGTGAGAAGTAAAAAATATTAATGATAATTTTTGTAACCGAAAATGCAGGGAAAATGTTAGAAGTTTTATTAAATAGGTAAAATTAAATGCTATATGCTAGCAATTATATATATATATATATATTAGGTTTTATGAATGATAATTATTATTATAATAATTATAATAAAGTTTTCAAGTAAATTATTTGACCATAATCCCTCCAAATTATAAAAATTACATTATCCACAATTTTTTTAATCAATATAGTGATTCATATGTACTCAAATAATTTATATAAATATTATTTTTTTTTTACTAATGATTAAATTTTGAAAATGTGGTATGTCCATTATCTAGAATTTTAATATTAAATTCACATATCTTGAAAATGTGATATGTTTATTATCTAGAATTTTTTAATATTAAATTCACATATCTTGAAAATGTGATATGTTTATCATCTATAATTTTAATATTAAATTCACACATATTACTTATAATATTTTATGTACATCTGTGCACATATGATAACTAGTATATATAATTGATGGCATATAGCATTTAATAAAACCTATTTAATAAAACCTCTAAAATTTTCCCTCCATTTTCGGTTACAAAATTTATCATTAATATTTTTTTACTTCTCATATTAATACATCATATTAAGTGTAATCATGTATTTTTCTAATATATTAAATAATAGTTATTTATAATACCAATTAATAATAATTCACAATGAATATAAATTGCATAATTACAAACATTTATTTCAAGTGTAATCTATATTAACATCAATATTATCTTTTTCTTTTGTATCTCATGAAAAAAAAAAAAAAAAAAAAAACTTTAAAAACAATTAGGAAATTATTTTAATAGCATAGTCAAACAACTTTAGAATCTTATAAACAATTGTTTTTAATAATAATAAATAATAATTATTTATTATCTAATGATAATAAATAATAAACAATTGTTCATCGTTACTTTATTTTTCCTAATGATCAAAATTTTGAAAATGTAATATGTTAATTATCTAGAATTTTAATATTAAATTCTCAAATATTACTTATAATATTTTATGTACTTCTGTGTGCACAGGATATCTGCTAGTATTTAGTAATTACACATCCAAAACTTTTGAATATGTAAAATCACATTAAAATATGCTATTTTATCACCTCATGTGCAGAAGCAGAAGCAAAAGCCAAATCTTGATCGCTCTCCAGGTTGGGGGATGCAATTGCTTCCTTAGATTCAAGATGTAGGTCCACAAGGAACTGTTCCAACTTTTCGAACAATTTAACCTTCAGATTTTCAACCTATTCAGAAAAATGGTCGATCATCAACAAATGATTATAAATTCACAAACTAATGTTGAATATCGATAAACTGTCCTCATCACAACTGATAATCAATACAAACAAAATTTATAATCTACCACTGAATTTTGAAAACATGACTTGTACATACGTACCGGGAAATCCAACTGCTTAAGAAGCATGACAGCCTCAGCCCTCGCTTGTATTGACTCAGAATCGGAGAAAACCTTCCCCTGGAAAAATATTTAAATTTTGAAACACAACATTTTGCTCCAGAGTTTCCTCATCAGCTAAATGCCTAACTGTGAGCAGGTTTCGATTCAATCCACATACGGACCATCAACCATGCAAATTAAAGAAAGAAAATGGAATGGACCTGGATGTATCGACAAGCGACGTTGAAGCAAACAATATTGCTGAAGGCTGAAGTAAACTATGTCGCTGAAGAGCAACTGTAAACTCCAAATATATGTTAAGAACTCTAAAAAAATTCTGTTACGCGACATAGTTAGCCGTGGAACTGGATTTGTTTGTTATTTTTCTAAGCAGACTCTAGGGAGTTTCAAAAGTAGGCATGCTGAGGCCTCAAAGCATAAATCGATGTGACAATGCAGATGTGATCAATCATTAATTGAATAACAAAACTATCCTGGGGAATTTTTTTTCGTAAATTACTTGTACAGAGAAAAAAAATTCCCAACGTACAGATTACACTGTCTAATTTATCTCCAAGTTGAGTCCAACTTCTGTAAGTTAGAACTGAGACATGCATGAAATTATTGATTTCATCATTAGAGCTTTTATGCATCAACTACACCACTTTGAGTATGAAACAGTTTTATAACTGATGTGTGTGCACCTTCAATATAACTTAAGACCCTCGTACCTGTAAGTTTTTTATAATTATGGTCACTGCTTCTTCTGATGCCCGCTTACAGTCTTGGAAGGAAGAATCACCATATGCCTATAAACAGGGAAAATGAATGGCTAGTGAGGAGGATGGTAGCTGATGAAATATAGTCAAATTTAAGTGAAATGCAAACAATAAAAGATAAGTAGAAACAGATAAATTTAGGCTCCCATAGACAAGTTACAAAGATGAACCTTGAAAATAGGTGTGGCTCCAGTATAAAATTTGACTGCTTCGGCATAGGCTGCTGATTTGATACACTTCTCAAGTCTTGTCGGTAAATCGTAAATAAACTGCTCAAACAATGTATAATAATTTTAACAAGAAGGTTCTTCCTCACATTTGAGCTGATATAGTTCAATTATTCTTTTTCTTTTTTCGGTCTTTACGCCAATGTCAATTAACATTCAGTTACAACTAGACGAAGTATATGTTACCCCTACTTTGTCATATATGCTCGCTACTGTCACATGAAGTGAAAAACAACTTGATTAATGCTATCAGGATCTATAGCAGGCACTTCACGTAGCCAATCAAATGCCATCTGAGGAAGAAGTTAATGAGGAATCAAGTATACCTGAACTTTCCGCAGAAGATTGCGTGTGCGGTGTAACTTCTCTATATGCTCTCTCTTCTCAAAAAGAGATGTGTTGACTCCATCACTCCTAGATTGCACAGATGTAATCTGGAAATATAGAACCAATTCAGATGTCAGAGAGAGTTTTCTTTATCCATACATCCACCACTTCACCATTATGAAATCATTGGTTGGTAACCGGATAAATTCTGTACCAAACACCTTTTCCAGAAGCTGTTCCATATTTGTTTCCATGCCGACAATATTATTTTTCATCCTAGAAACAGGAGAAATGATTAGGCTGAAAACTGAAGATATACCGTTTAGATGAAAGTGTAGATTTAAGTAAAAACATGTAAAGAAAGAGTTAGTGTTGAGAGTCAAACCACATCCAAAACAAGAGGAGATAATTAGGTAACGCCTATTGATATAAAATAAAGCAATATATAGTACACATGGTGAACAAGGATATTTGCAGCCAATACACAAATGTGACAGTGTTCGACTATGCAATCCAATTAGAGATTCCCTGGAAAGACACAATATGACTTACTTCTTTATTGTATCTGTTGCGCTGATGAATTTGTTGTAATTCTCATACACCAACATCTGAAGGTCAGTATCGAGATTTTTTATTTCAGCAGCCATTTCAACATGCTTCTGAAGCAGTCCCTCCAGATTCGATTTTTGTACCTTCAAAATCATTCAAAAAAATTATTTAAGGCTACCATCCATATCAATGGGTAAGAGAAATGCATTTCACTCGCAAAATGGACAATGTGAAGTAACTAATAAGTGATAATAAGGCTTATTTGAAATGCAACATAGAAAAGTAGCTAATAAGTGATAAGTCAACTGCAAACAAAAATCTCAATAGATTTATTTAAAATGCAACATAGAAAAGCTTCTAGATAGGCTCGAACTTTTTTAAAATCTCATCCTATCAAACCAAACTTATTTGAATACAAGAAGCTTATAAACTAACTTATGGCGCTTACCAAACACACTCTATATCTATCTATATGATTAGATAACGAAGTAATAAAAGAGTCCATTCACTGATAAAATAATCGTCACTCAACATTAAGGTAGGACTGCTGTTAAGCTTTTCCCCATCCTTCATCATATCTACTCATACCCAGATGCAATCTAATTAAACATATGCATCATAGTTACTGAACAGAAGAATTTCCAAATTACGAATTGAATGCACCATAGCAACATGTTCCAGCACCAATTCCCAAGCCAAAATTATCAAACACAGCTCAGATTAACTACCGGCGAGTTCATTAACATCCATCCAATTGTCGAAATCACCCAACTACGCCATTGAGGCTCAGTATACAAAAAAAAAA